ACCAACGTTACAATATCGCATTGTCTCAAATTTCCGATTACATTACAACAACTTGTTAAAATTAACACGTTTGTACCAACGCTTTTGTTTCAAAACGTGGTTAAAGACATTATTTAACAAGATTTCGTGTGTCAAAAAGTCAGTATTACGTTACGTCTAGGCTTTGAAACAACACACGCTATTATGTCAAAAGTATTATGACGAAAATCATTTCTAAATTATTAAACAGGTTATTTACTGCGTATCTATATGTGGCAATAAATGATTATTTTCGTTCACCGTTGAGTAACAGGCCGATCAAAATGTTATGGTTAACAATAATGAGTAATATAGTTCCTTATAGAAATTACATGTTTTGCTCTAAAAGAATTTGTAATGGTTATGTTGCAATATCTAGTTACAAATCATGAAATTGAAGGCCAAGCTGCGTTTTCACGTGGTGCCTATTTAGTGAAGTTAGAATCGTGTTTCGTCCATTATTCTATAATAATATCTTTGGTAGTTTATTGTTTTAAGCAAAATGTCATTAACTGCTGTTGAAAGTTTTGATGCAATATTCAACTTTAAAAACCTCTGGTTTTTAATTCAACTGCATTTTTTCTACGCGAATGCTCCGACATTTGTAAAGCGATTTTAGTGATTTTTTTTTTGTTGGAAAGGGGGTACCTCGATAGTGGTCTCATCCAAATTTAAAGATAATATTCCACCTGTAAGACCGGCAAATTAGGAGATGAATACGGTTTATTGATTTTTACCAACTTTCTTGTAACCGATTTCTATAAAAGTTGGCAAATAGATATAATTCCACAAACTTTTGAGTTTTTTTTTTCAAAATATGTTTATATATTCTTAATTTTAAATGAAAATGGAATAGTGATAGCGATTTCATCGTCACTTTCTATCAGGTGAAATGGAGGTCAAACGAACACATTATTTCTTATAAAAGAAGAAAAAATCGACTTTTCCGAATTTAAAATTGCGCGTATATATTTGTTTTTTCAAACAAACTAACGTTTCAAAGTTCTTATAGGTCCCCGTAAAGTAAGCACACGGCTGGTTGGGACATGTCAAGAGCCTAAAACGTTGGATTGTTTGAACAAGTCTAAAAACTATATAAAATATTTTTAGCTGGATATTGCCCGTCACTATTTGGATTTTTTAAATAACCTATGACACCCCCACAATCAAGACGAATCTAACAACATCTCATATGTCAAAACCGTTTAGGCTGTACAGCGTGAACAAGAAACGGACATACATACATACACTCGAGAAACATAGCTCTCCCGCAGTCGGGTAAAAAGAAACATATGCGATTTTAAATCGGGGACATAAGGTTTAATTTCCAATTAGTAGCACGCGAAAATCTAAGAACTAGACATGTATTAAATAACAAACTAGTGGAATAATTTCACAAAAAATAATTGAATATCAATTCAATACAAACCTAACTAGAAATTATTTAAATTTTTAATTATAACTGCTAATCATTTTAAATTATGATTTGGACGTAAAAAACATTCAACAAACGCAACTCCGTTTTATAAATAAATTATCAGTCTCTAGATTTCCTTCCCTAGCATAATTTTCTACTCAATCTTTAATCAATATTATGTCATAATGTCAAGCAGGACGCGCGTGCACTTACCTTCAACACGAACGCGCGGTCACGTGCGCGGGCGCAGGGTAACTCGACACCAAACACCTGGGGACAAACACCAACATCATCAGTTTACTGCCTTCTTAAATTACGAACTCAGAAACTAGCGTACATAATTGTTACATAGAAAATAAATTAGTGGAGACGAAAAAGGCCGCATGGTAGTGTAGGCTATTAAAAAAAAAGCGTTATATACTGATACATAGCCTCAAAAATTGACAGTGAAGTATTTAAATGACATTACACTAGTTTGTAATAAATTGTTACTTCGCGCATTAATGGATTACATAAAAGTTATAATCGTGAATACAAGAACCGTCCTTGGACGTGAAATTCAAATGATCACGGAATAATAACCTTATAAGTTTATTTGAAAAGTCAAACCTTGACCTTGCTTGATGCTATTATAATTTGAAATTGAATTATAAAAATCACTGTTTGAATTCAAATTCATAAATATCTTTATGTCTTAGGCAAAATTACACTGAGAAGAAAGAGTAACACACTTTAGGGTTTTCGGTTTATTCCCTGTCTGAGAATCAAATAAAAACACAATCTTCCTTTCATAGGTAAACAAATAACAAATTGAAATTATCATATCGATTAAACTCTATTACTCATTCGTAAGGCAGATTCCTCTGAGAACGTGCAAGAAACTGAAAACAAACATTTGTATACATTTAACATTTACAATATTTATTTCAATAATGATTGATCAACGATTACCTTTCAGTAGTACGAAATGACATTTTCCAGAAATAACGCTTGGTCGAAATTTCATAACCTCGAAAGTAATTTTGTGAGAAAAATGTTTTTTCTTTTAAACTCAACTTAACCTAATCTAACCGAACTTAATCGTATCTTTGCGATAAACATTCAACATATCCTGAAAGAACAACTGTTCCGTTATAATTCGGTTTTCGGTGTAATGAAAATTCGAACAAACGTCATTTCGGACAAAAAAATTCGACTTTGTGATAGGTTACCTAGGCCAATACTTAGAAGAGCTATTTGTGTCATTATCATGGATTAATGTAATCCAAGTACGCTGAAGCTGTATTAATTTTAATACATACCTACACCAAATAATTGTCTAACTTTGAATATCAACAAGAATCTTATTGTATTAGCAAAGTACATTTACCTGAACTACAAGTAATATAAATAGAGTGAATAATACCACCCTTTGAAATCTCTGAACGATTAAAAATAAAAGGCATAAAAATTAAATTAATGTTTTTACTTAATATTACAAAACTTTTCTTCTAATTATCATCGTATGTGGTAGTGGTAAAAAGCGCGTATCTGCATCACGTCAAATTTCACAGGAGAGGGATTTAACGTTATTACTTTGTTATTTCAATGGCTACGTTATGTTGCCTACGGACTGATAACAATAGATTCCCGTAAATCACGCTAATTTGGTTGCCACGACATTCCCGCGGATTTCATTTGGTGACCAAATTACCGAAATGGAGACTCATAATCAAATACTTGTTACGCGTGATTGTACTATACCCGACAATATATTACTGTACGCAAGTAATTATATAGACAAAATAGTTTTCTCTGTAAAGCTAACAAGAGTTTGGACAGTGTGCTGAGCAAGTGATCTGGATGTTGAGATTTAAATGTAATGGTATATACGCAGGTATTGGATTGCTGTCTTTATGTAATTACTTATTATCGACATTGAAATGCCGACTTATAACAGATTTAATGTACATAGTTTTACATCACTGTTATACTCCGAATTCTAAAATTGCAAAATACATTATCTCAATCCGTGAAATACTGTGTCATACCATCAAAAAGGTCGTTAAATTAAATGACAGCCAGCATTCCAATATTATGTCAGATACGAGTTATACTTGTCATTAACCTTTTGGTTATTGTAAGAATATGAAATTTCAATGTGTGACGCAATGTGACCACTGCCTTGCCAGTTTTGTTAAGCCGAAAAGGCAGAAATTTGGATTCTGTAGTAAAAAAATATTTCTTTTAAGTTGAAAGGGAAAAGGAAATAAAACTGCTTTCTTCGGTCAGCCGTGGTCATGGGACCTGTCAAGGACCCGAAACGTTAGTTAAAAAAAAATAAAATCGAAAGATAAAACTCAATTTCAAAATGGTTTAATTCAAAATGGTATTGGGAGGTTCACGGTTCAATTCCTGTGGCTATACCTACGAGTAGAGTAGCATTATCTATCATTAACGGTGAATCGAAAAAATGCATATTGACAAAGTTTCACAATTAAAAATCTCGCTTTCGGAAATACCGGTGTAATGTCTCGGGGTACAATTGAAGAAATTCCGGTACTGACGAGGCGCAATCAGTCCCAGTACCGCGATTATAGATTCCCGATATTCCCGATTACACCTACCTATTGAGCTATGAGTAATATCGCCCATTGGCAACTTCGCAGGAGCGCACGGTACTGCCATTATAATGCTACTTAAACTTGACTACGTGTGTGATTTTACCGTATTATGTTATATTAAATATAATACTTGTTGTCTCTCAAATAGATATTTTTAATAAAAACCTGGAATTTGATTAAAGAATGAAGTTTTCCTTTATTATTTACGGTATTATTATTACGTAAATTATTGAATAGGTATAGTTTAAGCTTTAGAAGACGTACCGGGAATACCGGGAGTACCGGTACCGGGAATCAAAATTTTAGGAAGCGGACCGATATTGCAGGCCCTATTCACAGCCTTATAGTTAAGTTAGTCAATTTTGACATTGTACCATCACCGCTCTTGTTCATTCCTTATATTAAAAAAGTTAATTTGTTAACCCGCGCCCAAAACATGTCGCTGTGACGTAAGAAAACTGACCACACCGTTGGTTCGGGTTTCGAGTCCCGTTTCGCGGAACCTTTCGCTTTCGACGCACGCGCACTTGTCAAACGAGATCGAGAAATTAACATTAACTGTGGTTATGTGATTATTATGTACTCATTAATGTTAAAAAGTTGGGTTCGGAATTCGTTATCGAATAAACTACAACGAGGTGTGGAAAAGTGTCACTTCTACCTTTTAAAGAAATTAGTCTAAATAAAATTAATTTAATTGACACGAATTTCGTAAAACGTTAAACCACGTTTTTATGCTACCAAGACTTTTGAACCTGATTACTGGGCTCTGGTCTACAGTGTTTATTAACTTTGGGAAAGGCGAGAGTCCAAATTGACGCCTTCCATGGTCTAATGGTTCGCACATCGATTTTCATCGTGTCGCCATCTATGAGGTCCTGGGTTCCATGTCTTTGGGATCAGAGCTATGTATGTGATGTTGTCTAATAAAAATAGATAATCGAATAAATAATAATAATAACAATAATTAGTAATACAAAAATCGAACACAAAGACCATCGACCTCGCCATACCGTGGCATGATAGTAGTACATTGTGATATTGAATAAACTTAGCATTACAATAACAACAATGGTTTATTTCTCTTAAAATAAATAATAACTAATAACCTCAAAACCTATAGAGCTGAGCCTAAATATTAATATTTATGAGACAAAGGAGCTACGAAGGGCTGCCATGCATCCTGCATCTCGTGGTCAGCTAAATGATGACCCAGGAATGATTGTGCAGAAACATTGACCTCCAAATGGGTAAAGGACATCGTCAATGTTGCGGACCGTAGATGAATGAGACTAGCGAGAAATCGTGGTAGATAATGTTAATGGTGGTGATACCAGGCCAAGTATGTGTTTACACAAACATTGTATATGTATGGTATGGGTGAGTGTGTAGCAATACTTGTCCCATAACTCGAGAACGTTTACGAAACACTTTCGGCAGCTTTTTTGCAGCAAATAGCTTTTACTGAAGCTCGAACCGATGTTGCCCAAGTCGTTATATCTTGTTTATAGTTGTCATAAATACCTGAGAGACAGAATTATGAACCTTTATGGGGTAGTCGAAGTTGAGAGCCGATTATAAGATAAATAACGAGGAGATTTTGTTCAAAATGGTGTGTAACGTTTTGTAAGGTATATTAAATAATGGTAACAGAATATTAAGTGGAGATAGAAATCGATTGGAACCATTTTAGATATAGTGCTGGATAACAATGGAGGGAATTAGTTAGACGGAAAGAAAAACCAATGTGCAGGTGTTAAGAATAGTGCAAGAAAAGAGAAGTGAACCGAAAGTGAAAAAGTTTGGGCATCTGATACGTCACAACAGTTTTCTTAGATACATCACAGACGCGAAGAGAGCCAGAGAATGATCCAGACGAAGTCATTTAGATCAGGTAAGGGGGAAAGTTAGTGTCGTAAAGTATAAGGAAATTAAAGTTGGATGGAGATGGTTGGCGATTACTCCACCAACTTCGCGATAATGATGTGTTTTATATTATCTGAATTTGAATTAAGGCGAGGTATTTCAAAGCGAGCCTAAGCTTTAGGAATGACGGGGCAGCGGCGTGTCGTTAAACTGCTGGACAATTAGCAATTTTTGGGGTAAATATGAATCAGATGAAAACCAAAATTTTGCAGGTTCTCTGTAGTACTTAAAGAGAAATATCTCCAAATGATTATACACAAAGTCAGATATTTTATTATTAAATAGTTAATATATTTTCAGAAATTTATATGATGGAATAAATTGTGTCACACAATGTCCTTAAGTGCATCATATATTTTTTGTAAGGCCGTTATTTAATAGTAAATACATTAACCATTTGATCTAACAAAACAGTTTTGCCGCTTCTCTTCCTGTGACTCGCCTTACCGTACCACCACGTGCAAATCTAATAGTTAAAACCAGCAGCTGCATTCACATATTTGAAAAATGTCGTGAATTTGAAAAGGCCGTGTAAGTATATATCACAAATACATTCAAAATAATTTCATTCCCTCCATATATCATACCATAGCAAACATTTGCATATTCAACATTAACGGAATAACTTTTCTAAATATGGGAAAGTTTGTCATGATAAATACCGAATTAGTATACGCTGACAGGTGCGCCGGCGCATCGAAAGTGAAACCACGCGTTGATCGGTCGATGACCTATGATAAA